ATGCTATTTTCTGGAAGCTTTAAAGTTTGGAATGTCAATAAACACTCGGAAAGCTCTGCTATAAATACATCTGTTATGCGACTTCTAGGATTTATCTAAAATAGCCAGGATTAAAGGTACGTGTCAAACAAGATTACAAGATTAGCGACGTATTTCGAGGAACTTGACAGGCGACAGTTTACGTGTTTCGCTTTTTTTGGGATTGAAACGTAACTTCTAACGAAAATGTGGCAAAGGCATGATTTGGAGATACTCTTGAGGGTTTGGTACCAAGAGATTCACGTGACTATTCCCACCTCTCGTTTCCACCACTGCAACTCCTGTGTAGCCAGGATCTACAGCTTGATCGCCAATAAAACCCAACAAGTGAAGGTCAAGTACCGAAACATTGTCAGCATGCCCTGATCAGTTAGTTTAGCCGGCTTTTTCAGCACTTAGCGTCGTGATTGGACCAACCTGCCCTATTTCTAGAGGGCTCCATTGTCTGTTAGTCCTTCTGCTTATCATAGAACTTAATCTTCGAAGTATTCAGAAGACTATTAACCCAAATACCAAGAAACTATTACCGCTTTACACATGGGAGTTCTTAATATCTTCGGGGACCGGGGAGGTCTTTGTCCAGCAGTGGACGTCATTTGGCTGAAGCGAACGAACGAAATCCTATCTATCTAAGCCGATTCGGATGGAAGAAACTGACCGCACTAATGCGACGGGTCCACTTACAACAATGAATGAATGGTGTTTGCAAAACGTCTGCTTCCGTACGTGCTGGTATTCGATTACGGATGAGTTTGTAAGCAATGGTTGATTCATACATGTCGGTATCAGGCTTTAGGAGGCGCCATAGTCGTGGAAATCGAATACAATCCTTATGGTCCGGTTTCCACGGAAGCTGAGCGGAGATGTAATGTGGAAATGACGAAACCTGATTGGTTATCCAAATTCAACTCCTCTTCACCTAGTGGAAAACGGGCCTAAGGAAGGGGCTGCGCAAACGCAGACATTTTGTATCCGACACGGAGATCGTGTCGTTGTATGGTGTCAAGTGGAACCACACAAGACATGGAAGTTTCTATACCATGATTCAATAGTAGCTTATCTATTATGCGATTAACGAGAGGTTTTATCGCATCATAACGGACCACAAATACGCCGGTGTCTCAGACATAGGTATTTGTTTACATGATTATCGGCTTCTATTGAATCGGACTTCGTTTGAGAACAAGTTATGGCGCTGTTGCGAAGTTTGCAAAAAAAAAATCGCAAGTTGTAACACATAACAAAGCACCTGACAAAGAAATGGCCCAGTTCGAGTCATGGCATGACGTTGCAATTAAAAACATATTACGCTACATTACTTAAGCCATGAGTAACCTCACAAGTATTCCCACCATTGATAGTCGCTGCCGTGATAAGCCCCATATACACCTTGACGGAAAATATTTTAGAGTCGCTCGAACCAAGTGATTTTAGCTCAATACAGTGATTTTAGCGCCTATAAGGACAGGCATGGCAGTTGAGAGGACTCTATGGATGATGTGATATTATCAATTAATTATTCTTAGGCGAGAGTGGGGCACAGCAAAAAAATGGAAAATCAATTGAATATAAAACAAATGTCCCAAAAGCTGAACTGAGCTTTTCTACAGTAAAGGATTCAAGTATGAATCGACACAAGAATATTGAGCGTCTAATTACTCGTTTATACTTTAAACACTAGCTTTCCGCCCGCGGCTTCGCCCGCGTAGAATTTTGTCTGTCATAGAAAAACTATATCGCGCGCGTCCCTGTTTCAAAAACCGGGATAAAAACTATCCTATGTCCTTTCCCGGGACTCAAACTATCTCTATGCCAAATTTCATCCAAATCGGTTTAGTGGTTTTGGCGTGAAAGAGAGACAGACAGACAGAGTTACTTTCGCGTTTATAATATTAGTTTAGATTATTTTAAAGCCATGACATAAAGTTATCACATTGTGTCACGCGACTATCATTGAAGATAAAATTTAATTTTTGCTGAAAAATGTTTTGCACCGTTATCAGGTCATTTAGCCTCCACTGCAGTAGCACGATCTTTTTTAATGTCATCATCATTTCAGCAAAAGGACGTCCACTGCTGAACGTAGACCGCCCCCAATGATTTCCACATCATTGTATTGATGACATTGTATTGATTTTAAATCTTAAATGTAACTTGTGTAGAATTTAATTTTTAATTATATATTATTATGTATAAATATTAGATTATATATTTTGCTAGAAATAGTTCTATTAATAAAGTAATGTAAGCCTTTTTTTTTGCCTGAGATACAGGAATTATAATTCGCCCGCGTGGAATTTTGTCTGTCACAGAAAAACTTTATCGCGCGCGTCCCTGTTTCAAAAACCGGGATAAAAACTATCCTATGTTCTTTCCCGGGACTCAAACTATCTCTATGCCAAATTTCATCAAAATCGGTTGCGAGGTTTAAGCGGGAAAGCGTAACAGACAGACAGACAGACAGACAGAGTTACTTTCGCATTTATAATATTAGTTGGGATTAATGGGACTTAGCAAATGAATAAACCCTTTAAAGTTTTAACGTAAGCGCATTCGTTGACATTTGCAATGCGATGCGGCGCGATTATTTAAAGTATAGACAAGCTTTAATAGGGTATTGTGGCTTATTGTTCGCCGTATCGGCCACACAATAGCTGTATACATGCCGCTGCATTGTTTTTATTGTACAATTGATCATTTTTGTGACAAATCACAAGTATACTGTACTGTTTGGATAAGTAACAAACAGGCACCCTAAACAAGGTACCATTCGTCACAGATTCTATTTCGCAATCGCTTCAAGGAGCAAAAGTAGTGTGCAAAAAAGCTGGAGGGAACCGATTTCGGAATTGAGTCGTCTAGTTTCAAAACCCGCTAAAACGCTCCTGCAACTAATTTCTGTTTATATCTCTAAATGATGCTACTACAATTTTCTCATCATACTGTTCAATCATTTTCGATCAAAATACACTAAAAGACTACTAAACTAGCACTTAAAATTAGATTTGTGTTACAAACTCCGCTAAAACGCCGTCCGTTTCTTTCAAAACCCCCTAAAAGTTGATTGACCAATGGTAGCACGGTATTTTGGTCACGTGACTGCGAAATCAGTATGGAGATTTTTTTATAACGTGGTTGCTTCATAATTTGCTCTTATCAAATCCCGCTAAAATACAACATGTCCGTTTCAAATCCCATTAAAACCGAATGTTCGTAACAAAATACGCCAAAATGAAAATAGTTTTCATTATAATTCAAATTATATTTAATTTAAAGATAAATAGCAATTACTGTTAGTATTGCCAGATGACAATAATAATTCGTATCAATTTTTTTTTTGCCTAAGGCCAAAGCTATATGGATAAGCGGTTTTTTTCAATTTCTCGAAATCTTATCAAAATCGTTTTAGCGGGATTTGAAACTAGACGCCTCAATTAAGCCTGTGACGTTATGTGACATTGTCTAGCTAGGTAGTTGTTTAACTTTATCATTTATGTAATAGACCGAATTTGCGCGGGGATTGCAGCAGACTTAAAGCAAACTATGTTTCCGCCCGCGGCTTTGCCCGCGTGAAATTTTGTCTGTCACAGAAAAACTTTATCGCGCGCGTCCCTGTTTCAAAAACCAGGAAAAAAACTATTCTATGTCCTTTCCCGGGACTCAAACTATCTCTATGCCAAATTTCATCAAATCAGTTCAGTGGTGTAGGCGTGAAAGCAAGACAGGCAGACAGACAGTTACTTTTGCATTTATAATATTAGTATAGATGATATGAAAGTTACAGTACTATTGGGAAGTGTATAAGCGCCCTGGAAAGGGCCTAAGACTGAGGCCCTAAGTGCTGAATAAAGATTGATTTTGACTTATTTATTTATAGGATGCTATAACATAGACGAAAGCTAATGCACAATGACACTATAATTAGGGTCAACAAAAAGGGCTACATACATGGGCTCTATCTATATAATTACATCAGCAATACAATACAAAGTTCGCAACACCTATTGTGTGAAACAATAAGTTTCCTAACACGTTTCATGAAAGCAGCAGAGTTTATTCACCTCGACCACCTAATGCAATTAATTAAAAATAACGCAAGAATGCTGATTTAAAAATAAGCAGAACATTCATAATGAAATCTTCGTGAATCGTGAAGTATAAACTGCTGCACATTAATAAGAGAGAATTCATCAAAATATTTTATAACAGCAACTTATAACACTAAGTAGGATGTGAAATTAGAAAAGTGAAATATTAATTACGAGAAGATGAATATAATTTAAGTAATTTTTGTTATAATTTTTTATTGAATACTTGACATTTTCCGACATCATGGGTTTATTAAGACAGTCCACACACATTTATCAAAAACTGATTATTCCAGAGAGTGAAAATGCCTTTTTCCTTGAACTATTTTTTTCTCTCATAAACTAACTGAACTTGATAAGGCAATACAACGAAGAATATTTTGGGCTAATATTGATTTAAGAATTAATTGTATTAATGATGTACCTAATTAATGATAACTTATTTATTGTTGACAAAATTGAAGTTTGAAATACTATGTACCCAAACATTTAATCGTAATAATTAAAAGATTTCAAATAGATTATTCAATTACTTCTTCTATTTACATAGAATATCTTAACGGCTTCATAGTAGCAATGGCCAAACAATACAATTCATAGAATTGACTATTATAGCTGCAGAAGGTCTTGGCTTTGTCCAGCAGGGTACTGTTAAATGGCTTTTACTATGTTTTTACAGAAAATAACTACATGGACACAATGAAAAGTTACGAATTGCTTTCTTTTAATATGAGTAATTAAGCAAACGAACCAAAACTATTAAAAGATAAAACAAAAGTATGTCAAAGGCACTATAGTTTTATTATTTAAGTTACTTGAAAAAAATGTTTAAACAGCTGTAAAAAATACATTTTATAAATGAAAATCACTGACCTTATTGTGTGGCAGGACTATAAAGGCGCCTCCTCCGGCGGACTCGACGATTATTGCCAAAAATTTGGGGTTCACGGCACAAAACGTAGAGTCCCATGAACTTTTCGACACTCGAATATTATCATAACACTGTTCGCGTTTCAGGGCCTGCCCGTAAACGTGACGGAATTTAGAACTACGAACCACTCTAAACGACATCTGGAATACGGAAAATCACACGGTTAACAACAAAACAATAAACAATACTCATTTATCCAAATAATTGCTTAGAACATAACCTATACACCACTTTGACCTATATTTTGACATTATTACTAAGATAGAATCACAACTCACTTTTGTTTAAAAGAAGAAATTATTATATTTACACTAGAAAATGCGATAAAATCATTTGAAATTAACACAATAATTAATAGAAAATAAAATTGAGAGCTACTAAGGATTGAAGGGAGGACGGTTGGGAAAACGAGCGAACTCCATATTTGGTAATGCCTACAGCTACTACATTTGCCGATTTTATATTTCTTGTTTAAAACAACTAAAAAATGTAAAAATATATTTTTAGGGTGAAAATAAGTGTTATATTTTTACTGTTATATCTTAATTATTCTAAAATACTGTCTAAAGTGGATAATTTCCGAATAAATTGATCTTTGAAATAAAAATTCTTGAACGCATCAGCATAATGTCAGAAAGCTGTCAAATATGACAGTTGGCAGATGCGTTCATTAGAATGAATATTCTGTTACTTGTGTCCTAATCTCTAATGCTGCGCAAGCGCAGTTTTCCAAAATTTCTGCAGACCCTTGTTTCTGACGAACGCCACAAAATAAAAAACAGCAGTAGTACAATAAATAAGATAGAATCTATGTTGAGACCTCGACCCTACCTAAATTTATTAACCCTACGTTGGTCGCCTGGGGTGTCGTACAATCCCAAAGCAGATTTCTTGGCCTAGAACTTTTTCAAAATTGAATTTAAGATCACGCAACGAGAGTTGAGGCCATTAATTAATATAACACAAGCAAATATTTATATCGGTAAGCGTTGTTTGCATTTTCTGTTTCGCTTATAGACAAAGACATTTATCAAGAGCGAGGTAGCTTTTAGTTTAGTGTATTCAATATTTGAACTTGAATGAGTACCTAATTTTGTTATATAGATACATATTACATCAGGACAGGAGTATTACATCGTATCCCAGCGTTGAATTTTGGAACACGATGTATATGTTACGGTTAATGTGATAAATTGAAAATTATTAATAATAACCGGTTATTATGAATAATTCCCGACAGTCGCGGTGAAAGTGATAAATTAATCACATTTAACAGTGATTATTTAATAATTCAACCTTAGTACTAACAAATTTCATAAGGGTATTTCGCCGAAACAGTAAATTTTCTGTGTCCAGGCAGGCGAACACATGTTTTTTTTATATCTATCGGTATAAAACTATTTTTATGGGAAAGTTCATCAAAAGTTTTATTTGTTTTTGCTATTACAATAGCAGAAACTACAAATAATACCGTAGAAAAACCTAATCAAAAGTCGTTTTTCTAATTTCCTTGTTATGTCCATTACTGTTGTTTGCCAAAATGAAGGCACATTATAAAAAATTGAAGCGTAATTTAATTCTAATAGCACTCTCTTTACATTTGAGAAACGTTTGGCTATCGGAAAATAAAAACTTTAAATATCAAATACTTATAGGAAGAAAATAAAGCGAAGTTAAGTTCTTGTCCAGGTCAAAAGTATAATTTCCCTGGGTCTTCTTTTCAACCATTGTAGTAACGAAAAGAAAAATCTTAGAATGTAATGCACTGCACCGTTACACTCGACCATTACGTCCCAAAAGGCCATCAAGGCAGGACAGTACATCGTTGATCAGTTTCGCGACAAATCGCGTAAGTAGGTCCCTCCTTGGGGTTTTGTTTACTAAAAAGTCAATTTCTTTGGGCGGTTTTTTGCAGCTAAACAATGGATTAATTTTAATGTTTATTTACACAAATGTAGTGTCTGTAGGGGTTAACCCATGATTTAAATAGTAAATGGATAGGCTAAATAGGTTTTTGTTTGTGGTGTCTTTTAGGCATAAATCTAATTTCTTTGGCCCTAATTTCCTTGTTTTCCGTGGTTTAAAATGGCCTAGGAAATTATAAAAGACCATTTTTAATTCGGCGTAAAGTCAAATTTTTAGTATTTTTTTACTGAAATAAGTTTAAAATTTACATTTTAAGAAATGGGTATCAGAATAGATATAGCACAACTTGTTTTTAACTCTTAACTCAATCTACTGCATTTATCTTCCTTAGTTGTGTAAAAACGTTATAATGATATAATATTCATTGGTATGTTTGCTTGCGAAGGTACACTAAAATGGGTCGAATTAAAAAAAAGCAAACCACAGAAGAAAACTAAGAGAAAACAATATTTATAATAATTTCCTTGGCTACCAAAAATTCATGACCTCATAACTTTGTTTCTAAAACGAATTATGACACCCCTTTTAGATAGGTACATTGGCTTAGTTTTTGCTTCTTAATGCAATGGAAAAATAAAAATAGTTAAAAACAAAAAAAAATTTCGTGCCAAGGAAATTAGGCAAAATCGACCATTTTTGGCGAAATACCCATAAAAGAGAACATCTTGTGTACGTGCTCGTGTACAGCCAAACTTTTGAACGTTTTGATATCATGTATAGCCTGACCAGGAACATAAAAACCCTGGCATAGAGGCGCGTCAATTGCATTTGATAGTGCAACACTGAGTACAGTCGTACATGTGTTAAATTAATAGGCTAAATTTATGTATCAGGATTCAGGATTACGGGCTAATTTGATATTTTCATAAATTAACGAAAAAATATTATTAAAGGTAACCTGGTTTAAATAAANCGTAACATATATTCGCCTCAACTTTCGCTGCGCGATTTATACGTTTAATAACATTTCCATGTCTTTTTGACCGCGTAGTGCGATAAAATGATGCCGAATTTTTTATCGTGGGTCTCAGAATCCCATGTTAATAATAAAGAAGAGATTCTGAACTACGCTTTTGCTAATACTAATAAAGGATGAAGTCAACAAAATATTATGGTGAATAAGTTTATGATTATAACTTACTTTTGGAACCCCCAAACGAGAATCTGACTGCCGAGACTGTAATGTTGGCTTTTTGTCAGGAGTGTGAGTGTAGCTGTGACAACGCTCTCTTCCCAGTCTCTTAGCCACAGGCGGTCTCTTTATATTGGGACTCGTAAAGCTGTTGTGTCGCTTGATTTCCTGTAATAAAATAATATTCTTTTTCAACTCCCATTCGTGAAATATTCTTGATTAGTTTATTTAGGGATATTAGAATATTAAAGGTAATAGTGGAGGAGACTCGAGAGGTACGCTGCCGTGCCGTGCTAGTGTGCGTGCTAGTCAAAAAAATATAATTTCAATACACTACTTACCCCAGTGACGTCGACTTCCATGTTCATGACTTAAATAAATTAACTTAAATCCTTATAAAATAAAAATAAAAGGTTAATACTTTAGATTTAAAATAAATATCTCACTTGCTCTTCGAAAAAATGCTGTTGCTCTATTTAATTTGTAAGAATGTGGGTAATTGGATTTTGAAAAATATGACAAATGATAATTTGAACAGGAAAATTTTGATTAAATGTAGGTATGCTGATAAATACCCTTAGTCATCATGATAATGTTAGATGTTAAAGCTTTTTTTTACTTTTAATTATTGAAAAAAGTCGTAGATATATACATTGCATTACATTTAGAAATCTTGAAATGAACGCATCGAATACATACCGATCATTATTTTTAATCTGTGGTTGTTTTTTGACATTCGTGAAATTTGACAGATCTTTTTCAAAAAAATTGAAAATTTGTGAGGTGGTGTCTGCTTGCTATTATTCTGCTGTTATTTCATAATTTGCGTTGTATATTCTACAATGTTTTAATTTATTTCTTGTTATTTAGTGAGACACATACCTTACTAAAATGGATTTCGGAATTTGCAAGGTAAGTTTTTAGAAATTAAGTTAAAAAAATATTATTTCTGTGAACATGTCTGTGAACATCGCGAATCGTAACTCCGATTTGAGTATTTATTTTTATTCCGATTAACTTTTAGTAGTTAGTGTACGATTAATAATTAGCAGAACTTACTGCGTCATGGATTTTAGTTTTGCGTTTTTACGTCGTCACGCCGGTAAATTATTTTAAGTATTTTGGTTCTTCATTTGGGGATTCTTGCTTGAATCAAGTGTGTCTCATATTTTAACTTGTATTTCCTGCAAGTGTGCTTGTGCATCAAACTAGACAATATTTTTTATTGAAATTAAACAAACACAATTACATTGTTTTGTTAAATTGAGTAATTTTTGGTCTTTTAATTTAAATTTTATTCATTTACCTAAGTTTCTAACTGTAAATATAATCTGATATTTGCCAGCGATACATAAATTACCCTAGAACATCACACCATTGATAACACCATTTATTAAATTGTTTGAGTAATTTTAGGCCACATATTATACATACCTCTCTGTTTGCATATATGCAAATATACCTAATATATTAGGTACTTAATGATTCATATTAATATAAATGTTTGAGATTGTATTCTGTTGTTGTACCTATAAATAAATAAATAAATATGGGTCAACATAAGTGAATCCTTTTCTTCATTCATTCAAATGTAGTTATTGTGTATTCAATGGATTTGACCTCTCTGAATCCTTATTGAGAGTTTAAGAGCTTCTGTTGCAGAGATGTTGTTTAGAATATCTAACTTTTTTAAATTGAAAGTTTTTTAATGTCAAAAAGATATTAAAAACACACAAAGCTCAAACAAAGGCAGCTGTTTTAACATAAAAGACACTGTAATGTCATGAATAATTATTGTTATTTGTAATAATGTCTTTCATTGTATTTAAATGTGTGTATGTTATGGGAATATGTGGAATAATTTTACTCTGTTAAGGAATTGGGTATTTTTTACACATAAATGTTAAAGTCATATAAACAACAAACTGAAGTTCCAACCAAGTTTCAATGCATGTAAATTAATTCCAATATTAAGAGTTGTTGAGATTTATTTATAGAAACAGCATAAAAACATTTTTCAAAACACGATCCTAAGTTCCAATTAGAAATTTTGTTTACGAACAAACTTATGACTATCCAAATGATGAGTCTATTTTTAGAATTTGATTACATTAGATTATTATTTGAATAATAATACACAGATGTTATCTGTAATGGATACTAAATTCCATACCAAATTATTTAGTTGATTTCTATATCAAAACATACAGGGTGTAAGAAATAAGTTAAAAAAAAACAAATCATAAAACTCTTTTGAACTTTTGTTTATTTCAAAGACGTAAGACATTATTGATATTTTGCTTTTAAATTCAATAAGATTTCTATTGATAAAACAAAAACGTGCAATAATCATCATCATCAGTTTTTTACTTAGTCACGAAGTGAGCTCTGCTGAACTCTGTTTTAGACCCAAACATTTTACACCCTGTATAGCATGCTTTAGTCATTTTGTAATGTATCATTAGCAATTTGTACTTTGAATTGTCATTTTGTGATTGTTTTATTATTGTTTATACTTATGTTATGACTTATGATGCTGTTTGATTTTTTGGTGAGTTATTTTTTTTAACTAAACTAGTCCGATTAACTGTTAATACTTATACAAAAATTGTGTCAATTTCATTAGAGATATTTCTACACTACTCTACAGCTATGGCACTCCACAAAGGATTTTTCTGGAAACCCTGCACTGTCGTCGTCGAAACATGGGAAGGAAACACCCTCTCTTTCGTTTCTATTTTGTTCAGTCGCGCAACATACTACACTACATTTTCGCTGCAAAATACAATCATATTATTACAATCACAAGTGTTCATCTTGCTGTACTGTCGGCTGTCGCCATGGAGGTAGCAGGAAGGCACTGGATGCAGGCCGCTACCAACCGGGCGATATGGAAATCATTGAGGGAGGCCTATGTTCAGCAGTGGACGTCCTATGGCTGAGATGATGATGATGAGCACATATTACAATCGCATAAGATGACACAGTGTTTATTACCATATGACTTTGTCCAAAGGCTCTTTTTTTTGTAAAATAAGTACCTAATTGGCTTGTAAGTGCTGTTTACTCATCTTGTACCTACGATTTGTCAGTAGCGTGACGTGGTGCGCCGAATTTCGTGTTTTTTCCCCAATTAGGTCAAATCTAAATTCTACAGCCGTTGCGTGGGGTGGCGCTCCCGCCGAAATCACTCGTCTGGCATTTCGTTATGTTGTAGGAAGATCTATCAAGGGCCACGCGAAATTATAATTTGAATCAGTGGCTCATACATTTGGTTGGGGTCCATTATAAGCTGAATGAAAGAAGATTTCCTATTTTATCTACTAACTTTTGCCCGCGTCTTCGCGCATGAAATTTTGTCCGTTACAGAAAAACTTTATCGTCTATCGAAAAACTTATCTTTGTTTCAAAAACCGGGATAAGAATAAGCAAATCTTTATTCAGCACAATGTGGCGGACAAAGCAAGAGTAGACATGATTATCTAAAAAATATGCTGAACAGGCGCCCGCTCGCAAAAATCGCGACATGACATGACACAAACGTCATGTCGAATAGCAGGTTTTCAGCGGGAACCAATGCGTGATGAGGATTGCGCGCCCCTTTGGTCGAGACAGTTTGATCAGACAGATAAAAACTATCCTATGTCCTTTCCCGGGACTTAAACTATCTCTATACCAAGTTTCATCAAAATCGGTTCAGTGGTTTAGGCGTGAAAGCGTAACAGGCAGAGTTACTTTCGCATTTATATTAATGGAGTGGGGATTCCGGATTCTTTCCTACATCAAGGTTAGAGACCATGAAGTGTGCAATCTTACGCTTATTTATTTATAAAACGATTAAAAAACAGTAAAACCATGACTCAACATGAAGCTTACTGTTATGTCAGAAATTACTTTGCTTACGTCATTCGGTATTAACGTGAACTAAGCCTCTATTTGATCATTATTTAAATATTTCTTACAGGCGTTGTTAATGTTCCAAAGAATACTTAAGATAATTATTATTATAGTGTTAGTCATAAAACTAATAATAAACTTCACTTCCAAATCTATCTCATCAACTAGGTACCTGTTCTTCTACCTACTTATATTGGATTTGCATCACATTTATTATTACAGAATACCTACTATAGTCTTTTTCACGTAAGATGATCTGTATGACACTTCAAGGTTATCCATATTACGCATACTACATATGCAGAATATTTTTGAAAAAATATTTGTATTTTATTAGCAATATAATAAAAAAAAATAACTACCTTGTCGTGAAATATATAGTAAAATCTGAGTCTATTGATTATATTTTAATTAAATACGATGTAAAAATATTATTTATTTCATGTACGCAATGTGTGAAACGGAATAGATTTAGTGCTGGGGTATTTCTTGTATAATAAAATCGATTATTTCCGCGGTTCATTAATCGATTGCAGTGAATACTTAGTTATTAAAAACATCACAAAAATCAACTATATTTTTCGATTATTGACTTTAATAAACGTATTAAAAATAAATTAATGGTTTTTAATTTAAAGAAACAGAACCAGTACTTTTTAGGAATCGTTTTTTTGAACACGAACCATGAAATTTGAATATTATCAATAAAAAATTGTTACAATAATATTTGTAATTGTAAAAAACATGTTTTTTGTTAAATNGGGACTTAAACTATCTCTATACCAAGTTTCATCAAAATCGGTTCAGTGGTTTAGGCGTGAAAGCGTAACAGGCAGAGTTACTTTCGCATTTATATTAATGGAGTGGGGATTCCGGATTCTTTCCTACATCAAGGTTAGAGACCATGAAGTGTGCAATCTTACGCTTATTTATTTATAAAACGATTAAAAAACAGTAAAACCATGACTCAACATGAAGCTTACTGTTATGTCAGAAATTACTTTGCTTACGTCATTCGGTATTAACGTGAACTAAGCCTCTATTTGATCATTATTTAAATATTTCTTACAGGCGTTGTTAATGTTCCAAAGAATACTTAAGATAATTATTATTATAGTGTTAGTCATAAAACTAATAATAAACTTCACTTCCAAATCTATCTCATCAACTAGGTACCTGTTCTTCTACCTACTTATATTGGATTTGCATCACATTTATTATTACAGAATACCTACTATAGTCTTTTTCACGTAAGATGATCTGTATGACACTTCAAGGTTATCCATATTACGCATACTACATATGCAGAATATTTTTGAAAAAATATTTGTATTTTATTAGCAATATAATAAAAAAAAAATGTACGCAATGTGTGAAACGGAATAGATTTAGTGCTGGGGTATTTCTTGTATAATAAAATCGATTATTTCCGCGGTTCATTAATCGATTGCAGTGAATACTTAGTTATTAAAAACATCACAAAAATCAACTATATTTTTCGATTATTGACTTTAATAAACGTATTAAAAATAAATTAATGGTTTTTAATTTAAAGAAACAGAACCAGTACTTTTTAGGAATCGTTTTTTT